ATTTGAATGGTGGTGCAGGAGAAGAATTTTGAAGGTAACATGAAGTGTTCCAAGGACAAACCAAACTGTTTTGGATGAAGTACAGCTAGAGTGCTCCTTAGTTGCAAGCACACCAAGGTTTCGTCTTAAACCCTTTAGACTCTTGCCTAAAGGAGAGACCAGTCCTTGAGGAAGGAGATCACACTTGGTAAAGCAGAGAGGCTGTTGAACAAGAGGAAAGCCCTCAATGAGATGGATTGACATTGTGGATACAAACCTGGGGTCAGTCATGGAAACAATTGTAAGGGTGGTGTAGGACTGTGCAGTGTCTTGTTTTGTTGTGCATAGGGTGACTAAAGGGTTGACATCAACTCAAGGGCACTTAACAACAACAACAACAACCAATTTTATTAATTTTTCCCTCTCCCATAAAGGTCCTGCCCATTTTTAACCTATTTTTTTCAGAGAAATGTTAACACTGAATGAGGAACACATAATAATAATCAGCACATTTTAATTATGGGATTGGTGGAACATATTGAAAGTTATAGACTGTAGAAAGAACAAACAAAGATGTATTGGAAGAGGTGCAACCAGAGTGTTCTTTAGAGGGAAAGCTGATGAGATGTTGTTACGTGTACTTTGAGTATGTTCTCAGGAAACACCAGTCTTTGGAAAGGATAGAATGCTTGGTAAAGTAGAGTGTCAGTGAAAGAGAAGGAGACCCTTGACAAGATAGATTAACATGGTGGCCACAACCATGATCTCAAATAATAGGACAATTTTTACAATGTCACAGAACAGGGCAATGCTTTGTTCTGTTGTGCATAGGGTTGCTATGAGTTGGAACCAATTTGAGAGCACCTAACAATAACAATATTGTCAGGTGAACCTTCGTTGTATAGTGGGTTATGTATAGAACTGCTACCTCAAGAGTCACAATTTGAAACCATCAGCAGCTCTGTGGTTTTCTACTCCCATTAAGAGTTACAGTCTTGGAAACCCAGAGGGGCAGTTCTACAATGTCATAAAGGATGACTATGAGCTCATATCAACTCAATAGCATTGAGTTTGTGTTTTTTTTTAAATAATCAGAATTCTGTGATGCTGTTGGTTTAAGTATTGAATTGCTAACATCAAGATTGATGGTTCAATCCCAATAACCATTCCTTGGGAGGAATGCTAAATTGTCTTCTCTCATAAAGATTTACAATCATATAGACTCTATTATAGGTTACTAAGAATTTGAATGCACTCAAAGGCAACATATTTTGGTATTAAAGTCTATGTAGCGTGTGATGATATCTGTATTTTTTTCAGTGGAGCCTCCAGACAAAGAACAGGAAATGAAGAATTCACACCCCACTTCAGAGAAACGAACTGCTGAAGGTTTTTGCATAGTTTCTAAACATTGTCAGATAATGAAGACCTAATGAACTGAAGTAGAATAATGTTGAAGACAGAGCCACAAAATCAGGTGCTTGGATCAGAAGGTACTCAAAAGTGACTGTGAATCTTCTGATTTCCTGGAATGCAGGCAATCATCGTGACTTGAGTCAGGCAAAGCCTTTGGGAGGGTAACCTTCAAGATCTTCATTTGATGACAGGGCATACTCAAGGTAAGAAGACACAGCTGCAAAAAGCTGCTAATGATTGGAACTTGGAACGTGCAAAGCATGAAGCTAAGAAAATGAGAAGTCATTAAAACGAATGGGACATATAAAGATTGACTCCCTAGACATGTGTGAGTAAAAATGGGCCAATACTGGTCATTTTGAATTAGAAAATTGTATGATTTTCACATTCCAGGAATAACACAATCCAGAGGAATTCATTGGAAAAAATGACATTGAAAAATCAATCATGAAGTAAAATGCTGTCTACTTCAAGGAAATCCAATCAATAAAATTATGATTCAAATTCATGCACAACCACAAAACCCAGTGAAGAAGAAATTGTAGAATTTTACCAATTATTTCCATGGGAAATTGATCAAACATGAAATCAACATACTTTGATAATTACTGGTGATGAGAATGCAAAAGTTAGCTACAAAGAGGAAGGAATAGTACGTGAAAAACAAGGACTTGGCAATAGAAACAAAGCTGGAGATTTGCTTGATAGAATTTTGCAAAACTAATGAACTTTTTCAGAGAAAATTCCTTTTTATCAGCCACACAAAAAGGCAACTATACACATGGAATATTTCAAGTAGAATACACATAAATAAGATTGACCACATCTAAGGGAAGAGATGATGGAGAAACTCTGGATCAGAAGCTAAAGCCATGCCAGTGGATGATGGTGGAATAGACCTTTAATTTCTCTTACAAGTTCACGTTGAAGCTGAAGAAAATGGAAATAAACCCACAAGAGCCAAAAAAAGACCTTGAATGCATGCCCCTGAATTTCACGACCATCTCAAAAACAGGTTTAGCACACTGAACACTAATGAGAGTAAACTTGTGGGACATCATCAAGAACATCATTCATGAAAAACAAGGTTATTAAAAAGGAAAAAAGGAAAGATTCATGTGGATATCAGAACAGACTCTGAAACTGGCTCTAAATTATAAAGTAGTTAAAGTAAATATAAAAAATGATGAAGTCAAAGAGCTAGGTAGAAAATTTCAAAGGGAAGATATAAAATTAGCAAATATCTAGAATTAGAAAAACAAATAGAAAGATGTATCTTAATGTGATATGCAGGTTTATTGTGTCAACCTGGTCAATAAGAACATGTGGGATTAAAAAGGTCCCAGTTTGGTTGAAGGGCAGAGAAATAAATAGCTTGGTGAGCCTCGGCTTTCTGTCTCTTGCTCTCTGGTGATTGGACCAGTGCACAACATCTGGTTCTCTGCCTCAACTTGTGAGCTACACTACCCATTGGACACCCAACCTGTGGACTGTGTTGCTATAACTTGACGTTCCTTTGAGACCTGCTTCGCCACACTGCTGGTGTATACATCACTTGAGCTGGGGACTGTTGGGTCCTGTCATCTGGCTGTTTTTGACCCACCCTGCTGTTTGCTGCCTGTGGCCAGACTGCCTGCATTGCACTACAGGAGACTCAGCTGTCTGCTTCCTTTACCTTGGACCCACCAGGCCTTGTGAGTTGAAGAACTATCAGTATATTAATTGTTTCACAGGAGTGAGTTGAACTGAGCCCTCTGTACTGCTGTGTGGACTAATTAGCCATTATATTCCTTCATGCTCTATCTATCTATCTACAAAATCATAAGTGTCCTGGTATTATATTTCTCTAGAGTACCCTGTCTAACACTCTTAAACTTCAAAATCTGACGAAAAATTCAAACCTTAGGTGGTCATACTGAAAGATTTGATGGAGAAAATAATGAAGGATAAAGGAAGCATCAAAAGAACATGGAAATAGTATACAAAGTCACTGTATCAAAAATAACTAGTCAACATGCCACCCTTACTGGAGGTAGCATATAAGCAAGAATCAATGGTGATGAAGGACAAACTTCAAGCTGCATTGAAAGAGTTATCCAAAAACAAGGCTCCAGGAATTGACAGAATAACAAATGAAATGTTTCAACAAATTGATGAAGCAATGAAAGCACAATGAAGCAAAAATTGGACATTGAATACGGAAGATCATAGAAGACTGTATGCAGTTGAATTGTGGCGTTGGAGAAGAATATTGAAAGTACTATGGACTGTTTAAAGGATAAACTGATCCGTATTGGAAGAAGGAAGGCTAGAATGATTCCATCATATATACTTTAGACATATTGCCAGAAGAGACCAGTCCCTGGAGAAAGACAACATATTTGGTAAACTAGCGAGTCGGTGAAAGAGAGTAAGGCCTTGGACAAGATGGAGGGAACAGTGGCTGCACCCATGGGGCTCAGGCATAAGAATTGTGAGATGCCACAGAGCCATGCAATGTTTCCTTCTGGCATTCACAGGGTGTTAGGGGTCAGAGCCAGCATGATGGCACCTAACAGAACCAAGTGGAAGAAATGCAAGACACAATTTGAGCCACATAATATTTCATGGCAAGATTCTGCTTGTAACATTCATTACCTCATTTGACAAGAGAAATTATGTAACTGGGACTGACAATGGGTTAGGGACTACCCTTGTTCTAGTATGGTGTGTGGTGAACATGGGACTATTTGACAGACGGCAATCTACTCCTTGGCTATGGTCACTAAGTTTGTTATTAACTTTGATCTCATTTCCTTTCCTTCATATATTTTATCAACTCATGACAAAACCTGCGGTCTGCTAGATTTGTTTTCAAGGAAATACCTGTAGGTCTGTAATCTGGTCCCTTTGGCACAATTTACATTTAAATATTCAGTAATCTTTATTTCTAGTATATACACCTGCCTATAGCATCTGGTCATAAGTTAGGCACAATGCCTCCCAGTAAAAGTGTATCTGACTTTTAAACTCAGTTTTTGTTAATTTCAAGAGTGCATTACATGTTTATGTGTTTTCCCATTAGAAACAGTTAAAATGGATTAAAATGGCAATGTATTAGCCATTTTAATATATGCTATTGTATAATTTTAATATTAGTTACTATGTAATTTTTAAAATAAATCATGTTACTCTGAAACCTTAAAATAAATGTTATAGACAAAACTGCCCTTTCTTGGCCAATGAATCCTCTAACGGATAAAAATATTTGTTTATTCTGATCAGTCCAGACTAGATTAAAAAATAAAATATTTTAGGAAACAAATCTGTATCTGATTTTTAAATGTTTAAAAAATGTTTTTAAAAACATTGCAATTGGAAGCTATAAAGTATATATACTCTCAGCACACACATACATAAAAATACTCACACCCTCTCAAAATAACTGACAAAATTCATAATAGCACAACAATATTATCTAATATGATAGTCGGCTGAGGCTCGAGATAATTTTCATGTTATTTTACCATTCTAATAGACTTAATGAAAACAAATCATCTCATTATTTAAACTTAAAGGGATATCTTGTTTATGTGAAAACATCTAAAATATAAAAGCATGCTTACCTTATGAACTTTAAATAATACCTCACAGAGGTTGTAGAGTTTCTCAGCTCGTACCCAGTCTAATGTGCTCACCTGCAAGAAATATCAAAGTCAATGTGAAGAAAATTGCCACTTTTGGTTGGAGAATTTAAGCATTAACAACTTTGGAATGCTCTAATATGTCTCTACTTCATAAAGTTAGAAGCCACAAGTGCAAGAATTAGTACTAAGTTAACATACAGTTGTCTCTGATTGTGTATGATCTCAATATATTTAGTTAAATTATTAGTACAAGAATACAGTAGTGTAGAAACCCATCTGTTACACACAGTTGGGTACACCATTAAAAGCTAATTTTGTATTACTTTAGATAAAACTAAAGTCTGGATTTTAAATTATATGTAGAGAACTTAAGGTGTACTCTAAATGTGGAACTTTTATGTAGTTACACACTAAAGTAGGTGAACTTATGTAATTGATGATATGTGACATTATAGAAAGAATTGTTTCTCTTCAGAAATAACTTACTAATCAATTCTATATCAGAAATGAATGAATGTTTTTATAATTCATTAGTTTAACTGAAGTTCTGTCTTTATTTCTTCTGACTATAATTTGCCATAACTGTAGTAATAATATTGATGAAAATAATTTTAATTTTGAATAATATTTCACATTTTTGAATTCATGTTAGTCTACATCACTATATCCATACAGTATATCTAAATATTTAACAGTGTGTCAAGTTTAGACATTTATTGCTCGCATTGCAGTTATTCTTTCTTCCTTATCCTGTGCCCGCCTCACAATTGTTCATATGTTTGATTGCACTGTTGCAGCCACTCTGTGAATCCAACTCCTCTATGGCCTTTCTCTTTTCCTCTACCCTCCACTCAGCATGACGTCCTTCTCCAGGGACTGTCTCTCCTGGCATGTCCAACGTATGTAAATGGAGTACTGCCATCCTTGTCTCTATGAGGATTCTGGCTCTCATTCCACAACGGAGTGGCTTGTTCTTTTGGCAGTCCAAGGGACTTTTAATTATCTTCATAAGCAGCAGAAAACAAAATTATTGATTCCTCTCCAGTCCTTTTTAACCAACTTTAAAATGTGTATGAGGAGAGTAAAACTACCTTGGCTTGGGTCAGATACAATTTAATTTTCAGGGTAACCCCCCCCCCATTTTTTAACATTTTAAAGAGGTCTTGTGCAGCAGATGTATCGTGATGTTACCTATTGGTCAAAGCAAAACAGTGAGGATTTGGGTTTGGTTTACGTTGTTGTTAGGTGCCAGTGAGGGACTCTATGCCTAATAGTCAACAAAACAAAAGTAAACACCCTTCTGGTTGCAGCAGATGCACCCATTTCAATGCATTGTGTGCTCTCTTGATTGAGGCTTCCATGAGTATTGATCGTGGATCCAAACAAAACGAAATCCTTGACAACTTCAATTTTTTCCGTTTATCATGATGTTATCTATTGGACCAATTGCGAGGATTTTGCTTTTCTTTACATTGAGTTGTAATCCAGACTGAAGATGCAATTTTTTATCTTTATCACCACTTGTTTTAAGTCCTCCTCAGTTTCAGCAAGCAAGCTCATGTCATCTGCAAAATGTTCCTCCAACTCTGATGCCACTTTCTTCTTCTAAGCCAGTTGATTTGTTTTGCTCAGCATACGGATTGAACAAGCACTGAGAGAAGGTAAAGGGTCCAGCCCTGATGCATATGTTTACTGATTTTAAACAACACAGCATTCCCTTGTTCAGTTCCCAAAACTGCCTTTTGATCCATGTACAAGTTCTGCATGAGCTCATTAATGTTTTGCAGTCCCCATTCTCAAAGCTGTCCAACGTTTGCTATGTTCCACACAGTCAAAGGCCTTCGCATAGTCAATGAACCACAAGTAACCATCCTGCTAGTCGTCTCTGTTTTGAGTCAAGATCCATGTGAGATGAACAATGATGTCCCTTGTTCTATGCCCTCTTCTGGATCGAGGCTGAACCTCTGGCAGCTCCCTATCAATGTACTGCTACAACTATGGCACAGTAAAATTTAGCATGCATGTATTTTTTAATATTGCTCTATAATTTGAGCATCCTATTTTGTCACCTCTCCTTGGAATGGGTACAAATAGTGGATGAAATCTAGTAAGTTTGGAAAGCAGCTATTTTAAACATTTCCTGGCAAGAACAAGTGAGTACACAGACCACTCATAAAAGAAGAATTGAATAATGTGGGATGACTTCAAGAAGAGTAGACATGGATAAATAAAAACATATTTAAAAAGACAAGAAAGAAAGAAAAGACTAGTGTGGATGTCTGTGTTAGACAGGGTTCTCTAGAGAGATAAAACCAAATCCCTGGTAATTTAATATATTTATTTATAAAGATAATTAGATATATAACGAGAAACGAACTGTTAAATCATATACAGATAAATATATAATACAAGAAATAAACAGTTAAATTAGAAAGCACTACAAATGGCTTAGCGCAACTCACGTCCGTGAGAGAAAGTTGAGAGACTAGTCCTTCAAGTCTCTGTCTGATGCCAGATCTTCCTCTATTTGTAGAGAGAGCTAGGCTATGTCAGCACAGCAGCCAATCACAAGGCAGGTCACCAACCGCCAGTCCCCAGTTCCAGAGAAGTCTTAAACGGACCTCAACTTACAGTGACACAGTCCACAGGCTAGGTGTCCCACAGGCCGTGTAGCCTTTAAATTGAGGCACAGAACTAGCAAGGCAGCTGCACACTGGTCCGATGATCACAGAGCGAGAGACAAGAAAGGCAAGGCTCACCAAGCCATTTATCTCTCTGCCCTTCAGTCAATTCCATCTGCGTTTATCAGCCAGACTGACACAATAAACTATCTCAATGTCAGAGAGAATCTGAAACTTGCACTTAATCTTAGAGTAACTAAGGCAAATGGAAGTAATGATGAAGTCGAAGAGCAGAAGAGAAAATATCAATAGGCAGCTAAAGAAGATAAAGTTAATATAATGGCATGTGAAAAGATCTAGAGCTAAATTTGTAAAAAAGAACATTCTTAGCATATCTTAAACCTAAAGAATTGAAGAAAATATTCAAGCTTCAAGTTGCAATTATTGAAAGATTCCATGAGCAAAATATTAAATGATGCAGGAGGCATCAGCAGAAGATGGGATGAGTACACAGAATATACTCAAAAGAACTAGCTGGCATTCAACCATTTAAGAGGTAACTGATGAGAAAGAACCAATAGGGCTGAGGGGTTCAAACTACACTAAAACATTGACCCAAAACAAGGCTCCAGTAATTGATGGAATACCAATTGAAATGTTTCAGCAAGCTGATAGAGAACTGGAAGCATTAATATCTTCAGAGAGTAGAATTTTTAATACTGTATCACAGTGAATGTATTTTCCTTATTAGCACATAGAACATCAATATATTGTATAAAGAGTAGACATTTAGAATCATATACTAAGGTAAAATTTTAAGGTGTGCTTCTTATTTGCAAAATGTATACAAATATATTTTAATTTATATATTTTACATCTAACACATACTATATACAATATATTGCACATATTTATTTTACTTGAAAAATATATACATATATATATAGGAATAAACAGATATATATATATATCTGAGTAAAAGTCCTGTCTTTCTATAGGAGAGTGGCTGTTGGTTTGGAACTGCTGTCTTTGATTATTGCAGTCCAATGTGGAACCACTATGCCACCAGGTTCCCTATAAGACTGTGTTAGTAATCTATTATTTTTGCTGTTCACTTGAACATTTTATTTTTAGTAATGGCCATTTCTATTTCTCGCTTAATCATCTCACTCTCATTCTGTTTATGTGCTGTTCACAGTTTTGACTGTACGTCCAGCTCTGGATAGAGCGTGGGATCTCAGAATCAAAATTCAGTGAGTCTCATGGTGATTAGGGAGGAGAATATTACTCCAGCAGAGATGACAAAAAGAACAATTTAATATAAGAAGTGTTCTTACCTCTGGGATTGGAACTGCTTCTTTTATGGGCTTGAATAACAACAACAAAAATCTTTTTTTTCCCTGAGAGATATTTGTAGTCACCCTGGGAGGGCATGTGTAGTACTTGATTGACAATGGAGAGAACAATGGATTAGAACTGAGAAAAACAGAGAAACCTGGTCTATGTTTCATTATTTACGTGCTAGATAATGAAGTGCTGGGAAATTTCTATTCCTGGATTGTTCCGCTATGTAGCATCTAGACCTGTTTGTTATTTCTTTGTTAAGTCACTTTGGGGTGGACTGTCTGTCGCTTTGTATTAAAACATTTCCCAGTTGATTTATAGTCCTCTATTAGCTGTTTCTATTCTGTTATCAATCCATCCCTTTGTCAAACTAATTATTTTTAGGCTTGTTAGCCTAAAATGTTTCTCTCTTCAAGCAAGCTAATCCACTTCGACCTATAAGTGATAAAAAATATTTAGTTAAGATGTCCTGAGAGTTCTTGCTTGGAATAGGACTGCGTGCTGTCCACGTTCATTAAGAATTTTGACCAAGAAGTGCTCTTCATCACGTGTCAGCTATTCTTTGGTGTATGGATGGAACTTCTCCCCACTTCAACCACTGCTGCCACAGCGACTCAAGATCATCTCTACCTTGTAGCCATGTGACACCCCATGACCACAGTATACATTTCTTTAGTATTAAATGAGCTTGTGAGAAATTTCTCTGTGTTAATCTGTTTACGATTCTTCCAGCAGACACCATATGGCACTTATCCAAGTGTTTTTCTGCTACAGAAGCAAATTGTAAGGAAACCTGGAGATTATTTTGAGATGCTAACTAGATAATCCAGACTTCGTATACAATTTATATGAGCACAATTGTTTTCAGAAGGATTTTGTAGATGGTAATGTGTCTCAAATTTTAGGAAGAAAATCATATTTCCAAAAGCTATACAGCACCTGGTTTTGAATCTCATTTCCTTCTCCTTGAATTAAGTCAATAAATACTATTGAATGGAGTAGCTCTTTATTTTCATGTCGTTCCTTTGTTCACTTGGCCCCTCTTCTTAAAGACTCAGATACAATCCCTAACTGATGTCTTCCCTC